CACTCAGAATTTAGGAACACATGAGGGACCTACTGTATTCAAGGCTAGTATAGACAGGCAGGTCCACTAAAATGTCTAACACAGTCTGTGGACATGAGAACAGACTTCAACAAGTACAGAATATTTTAGAAATTGTGTAGTCCAATTAAGTGCCTAAGTGCCTAAGATCATAAAACAAATTGGCAGAGCCAAACCTAGAGCTCAGTCCTTGCATTGTACAACAGCTCCAGCTTATCTCAGTTCATTATTATTTTTGCCTTGACTTACTTTTGCAAGGCTCTAAGCCTTTTCAGCATTTGTAAGCCAGTGCAATAAGTCACAGTAGCATTTCTGCTACTACATGCAACCCTGAAAGGACAATCTTGTGCCTCGAAAGGCCTGAGAGAATAAGAAAGTTGGCAAGTACAGAGACATTTAGACAGCCTAGAACTCTCCTTGTGTCACACAGGGTGACTCCTGTGAAGGGACACGTACCTTGCTTCTTTAGGAATAACTGTGGGGAAAATCTACTGAAAACTCTAGAAAGGTGATGGCTCTGTGAGGCTCTGTGTTAAAACACAGAAATGTGGCTTGAACAATAACCAAAACTATGAATAACATCTCTACAGTGGTGCACACTTGCAATCCTAGCACTAGAGAGGCTAAGGCAGAAGGATCTAAAGGTAGCCACATAGAGAGCAAGACCTTGTCTCAAAAACAAAAAATGAAACACAACGAAAAATTTTATCATGAAATATCTCTCCCAAATACATAAGTTTTAAATATATTTCTGGTCTGGTGAAGAGGAAATCCCAAGCAGCCAGGTGATACAGTGAAACAAATACATCAATCAGTGAGACAGGATTTCGGATAGAGCACTGAAAACCACCAACTTTGCCTCTTCTATTCAGCAAACCCTGGCAACCACTTGACAAAGCTCCTTGGGAAGGAGCCACCAACTCCAAGCAGTACACACTGCACCTGAGTTCCAGATCTGCGCTCTGCTACTGACACACTGTGCCATTCTGAGAAAGTCGCTGCCTCTCTCCATGCCTGTAGGCTGCTCGTGTAACAGCAGGAGACAGGAAGGGAGCCAAGGAATTTGATACACATTACTGAGATAATTGAGCAGCCATCTGGAAAAATAATGAAGTTGAATCCACACCTGACATCGTACATTAGGATACATTCCAAATGGATCAAAAGTTTACACATAAAAAATTAAAACAAGTAGGATAAGACATAAAGAAAATCTTTTACACTCTGAAAGGAGGAGGCCTTCTCTGACTTAAAAATTCCTGTCTTTAAAATTTATTTTAAAAAAAGAAAGGAAAAATAAATAAATAAAATTGAATGTGCCCCCCCCCAATCCAGAAGCCATACACAAAAAGCCTGATAAATTTAATTGTGAAAGAACAGGCTATATGACAAAAGGAGGAAAAATATCAAAAGCAAAAATAAAAGACAAAAAGCTGAAAAAAATTTTATTTACGATTGAAATCACAGGAAAAAAAAAACCCTAATCTCCTTAACATGTAGAGAAATCCTAGAAATTCATTAGAGACTAGCCATCCGATTGTTAATAAGGACTTGATCTATTTGGGCTACCAAAATAATACCTTAGACATCATAATTATAATCTCATAATAATTCTGGAGACTGGGAAATCCAAGATCAAGGTTGACCTAGTGGTCTGATGGGGCCCAGTCTTCCTAGATACCATCTGGTATGTATCGTCAAAGGTGAAATGGGCAATCGAGCTTCTGTGCACAGCTTTTCTAAGGGTGTTCACCCCATCCTTGTGGGTGCATGACCTAATCACCTTCTAAACGACCCACCTCTGAGTACAATCACATTCGGAATTAAATTTTAATTTATAAATGGGGATGCACAGACATTCACACCACATAGGAAAGGCAAAAGACAGTGTGATAGAAAGAAAAATGCACACCAAAGATGTCCAGGTCCTACCTCCCAGAGCCTGTGCAAACCCTATTACATACCAATGGTCAACAGACTTGGATAAAACTAAGATAGTGTAACTTCTTAGCTGACACTGCAACAGGGAGATTGTGCTCAATTATCCAGATTGGCCCACTATAATAGCAGTGTCCTCAAACAGAAAAGGAGCAGGCAGAAGAGTCGGTGTCTGAGTGATGGAGGAGAAAGCCTTGATGAGCCACTGTTTGGCTTTGAGGATGAAAGGACCACAAATCCAGGAGCTGGAAAAATCTAACAGACCCCACTAGAGGCTCCAGCAAGGGGATGCTCTTGAACAGGAAAAGATGCTCAAACTTCATTTAAAATAACCAAAATTAGAGATTAGAAAGGCTACAATAATCTTAAAGAAGTTCAAAGTTGGAAGACATTAAGAGTTATTAAAGCTACAGTAGTAAAGATAGTGTATACTAGTATACAAACATCAAAACTAATATATATTTTTAAAAAGTCCAAATGAGCATGTTTGTTCCTTCCTCCATTTCTAACAAAGGCATCTCTGAAATTTAACAGGGAAAGACAAACTTTTCCATGAACAGTTCTAAAGCAATGCTTTTTTTAAGTGTGTAACTTTATTTATTTTGGGGGTATGTGCGTGCATGTGTGTTGGTGTTTCGGCAACTGAGAACAAAAGTGCTACACTATATCCACACCCTTTTATATTTTTTATTTTGAAACAGAGTCTCCCTAATTTGCCTAAGCTGCCCTCAAATTTGCAATCCCTATGTTCAGCTAGGACTACAGGCATGTGTCACTGTGCCTGGCTAAAGCAATGTTTTAAATGAATTTGAGATGGGTTTTTAGGCCTAAACATAAAAGGCAAAAATAATAAAATTTCATAAAGACAACGTAGAATATTTTTATTAACTTGTGGAGAAGGGAAATATATCTAAAGAAGGCTACAAATACCTCAAATCAATAAAGGAAATACTGATAAATTAGACTTCATTAAATTAAGAACATCTGTTCATCAAAAGATAACTATAAAGGGGCAAAAGAGTGAGCTTTCAATTGAGAGAAGATGCTTATAATACACATATACAATGAAGCAATCTGTAAGATAATGCCTATAGGAGGCATTATAAGAGGATGCCTATAGATAATTAAGAAGAACAGGGGCAAAACCAACTTTAAAACACTGAGCCAGGTGTGGTGGCACATTCCTGTAATCTCAGCTATTTAGGAGGTCAAGGCAGGAGGACCACAAGTCTGAGGTTCAGGTCATTTAGTGAGAACCTGTTTCAAAATAAAAAAATTTTAGGCCAGATCTGGTGGCACATGCCTGGAATCCCAGTACTCAGGAGACTGAGGCAGGATGATTGCTGCAAATTCAAGGCCAGCTTGGACTACAAAGTGTATTCAAAACCAACCTGAACTGCACAGTGAAATTCTATCTCAAAAAGACAATTAAAAAGTTAATTAATTGCTTTTAAAAATAAATTCCAGGGGCTGGGGATTTAGCTCAGCGGCATAAGGACCTGCTTTGCAAGCAGGCGGTCGTGAGTTCGATCCTCGGTACCGATAAAAAGAAAAAAGAAAAAAAATGTGTAAAAAAAATAAATTCTAAAAAACTTTAAAAGGGTGAGGATGTAAGCCCTGGGTTCCATCCTCAATACTTCAGAAAACAAAAATAACAATAAAGAAACTATAGTGAGTAGAGCTCAGCAGCAGACTGCTTGCCTCAAATGTACAAGACTCTCAGTCAGATCCTCAGCACCACAAAAAAAGGAGGAAAAAAGAAAGCAATAGGCAAAGCCTTAAAGTCTTTGGACTTGGTCTATCATCGTATGAATGGGTCTTGCCTATCAATAGTTAGAAGAGAATGCAAATTAAAATCAGTGAGATTCCACACTATACACTCATTAGAATGGTCTAAATCTAAGAGACTGAAAATATCTGGGAAGGATTTGGCAAAATGAAATGTGCATACATTGCTGCTGGTGGTGTAAATTGGTATAGCTAGTTTGGGGAACTGCTGACAGTATCTGCTAATGTTAAATATATGTCCTAAAAATCCTACTCTTGATTATGTATGTAGAAGAAATAAATGTATATATGTTCACCAAAAGGCTGTACAAGAATACTCACAGCAGCTCTATTCATAATCCCCAAACTGGAAAACCAAGTGTTCAATGGTCAAATGGATAAGTCAGTTGAATAATCACACAGTAAAATATTACTGGACAATAAAAAAGAATTGTCATACACACAGCATAAATGATAAATGTGTTGGACAACAGAAGCCAAACAGATGAGGACCATTTATATGAAACGTACAGTAACCCTGACCTTGTGCAGAACAGAGGCAGCTCTGGGGGTGGGTTACTGACTTGATGTAGCACGAGGTAGCCTTCTGGGGTGCTGGAGATGCTCAGAATCTTACACCAGGTGTTGGCTTCTTAGGTAATGTATAAGTGTAAAAATTCATCAACCTGATCCCTTGAGACTTGTGTACTTTATATATTTTGTATTTTCATTTTAAAAGTAAGACAAAACCTGCATTGAGCAGTTATTTGCTTTCAGATTGGCAAAAATCTAAACTGTAACACACTGTGTGAGGGAGCTGCATGAAGCAGGTGCTCCTCCACTTTGCCAGCAGGAGCGGGAAATGGAAGAGCCGCAGAGAGGCCGACTTCACAGCACTGTGCAAATTTAAAAATACACTTTCTCTTAGATACAATAATTTCATCTCCAGGAATTAATTCATCCTACAACTATATCCACCCACACAAAAAGTAACACATATACAAGGTTATTTGCTACAGTATGGCTCATAATAACAAGGATTGGAAATGATCTAAATGTCCATGAAGACAGCACTTCTCAAATAAATCATAATGCAGAGGAATATTACATAGCTGTAAAAGTAATTAGGAAGGCTTTGATACTGATATGTAAAGATCTCTCAGATAAACAGTTGGAAAAAACCCAATGTTGTGCATAGCGTTTTGCTATTCACATTACAGGGGTATAAGGCATACTTTGATGTTTATTTATATATGAAGCAATACACTAGAAAGATATAGAAGAAACTAATACCACAGTAAGCATTAGCTTCATGTATTGCTTTGGGGAAGTAGACAAATGGGGAATAGGATGGGAAGGAAGTTCTTTTAAGTTTTAATCTATATACATGTACAATCACAGAAAAATTATTTAAGTACATTAATTTCTTACATGGGAATGGACAATGGAAAGAGAAAGAAGTATCTTAAAAGAAGTGGTTGTCCAAAACGATGTCACTAATTTCACAACCTTTTGTTGGTTATATGCAGAGAACTACTTAATCTGAAGCACAAGAGATTTAGGCTTGATATACAGAAGAACTTGCCAACAGCAACGGAAAACTATGTTTTTGTTGTTGTTGCTGATATGTTCTCTCTCTCTCTCTCTCTCTCTCTCTCTCTCTCTCTCTTTCTTCCTCCCAACCTCCCTCCCTCATTCTCTTACTGGGGACTGAACCTGGTGCCCTCACACTGAGCTAATTTTTCGACAGGGTCTCAGTAAGCTCTCCAACCAGGACTCAAGTTTTGACCCTCCTTCCTTAGTCTTCCAAGAGCTGGGATTACAGGTGTACACCACCAGGCTTTGGTAGGGAACTAAATATTGAAATGAAGAAATGAACACTCTTAACTAATGGACTTAAAACAGGTCACACTGTCACCAGTCTGCAGACAGGCAGCACAGGTAGCAGTACACAGGTTCTGAAGTTAGAGACCAGGATTCATGATATGACACACAGGTTCCTCCCAAATGTATGACTTGGGTATGGCACACTGATCATCTTACGTTTTATCTAGTCTTATCTAAAAAAACGGGGTTAATAATAGTAGTTACTCATCAACTTGCCATGGGTAAATGGGATAATATAAGTAAAGCGTTTCTCTTCTGCCTACCACACTATGCACTGGAACAAACAAGTCTGAACCTGCCTGAAAGCACTCTGCAAATCCCTGAGGTTTGAAGGGCTTATCACTCAGAAAAATAGCCTGCGCGTCCCCTCTAAAAGTTATTTCTCACTATTAAATGTTTCTATGAAATATTACATGGCTCTCTTTGATGAGTTTTAGGCCAAGGTCAGATGCTCTGTCATGCATATAATAAAGGTGCAGACGTTCAACAATTGGAAATCATCAGTAAAATGAAAAATAAATCAGTGAACAGAGAACAACTTCAAAGCAACTGCCTTCCTTGGAGGAACAGGAGATAGCATACGGTCCTGGCAATATCCAATCTTTAAAACTGCCTGTCTAGTGGCCAGTTAGCTCAGTTGCTTAGAGCACGGAGCTGATAAAACTGCCTTTCTGACAAACCTCATGGTCCAGGAAGAGGCCACCAAGAAAGTCCTTCCAAGGGTCTGCAAAGCAGGAAGAAAGGCAGCATAGTCAGCTCTTTTTCCACTGCAGGAAAGGAAAGCTAAACAACTGCACATCAGGAAAGAAGGAAAACAAATTGGCCAATCAAGCCAAAATAAATTGCTCCTGAGAGAAGCAAAATAGCTGGAGTCAGTTTAGCCAGACATGGCGGTGAGGGGCCTAAAACAGCAGGATATGAGGGCCCTGCCTCTGGGAGGCAAGGATCTTCTGAGTAAGTGATGGCCATGTGCTCTCTGCTCACCTCTGCTGACCTTGGTGTGCACTCACAAATGGCGCCAGCCAGAAAATGTTAGCTGATGTGAAAGGAAATCCTGGGTGGAAAGGAAGGAAACAAACCAATGAACTAGCCAGGTGAGCACGCACCAGCAGAGCACTGTGGACTCAGCAGTGCACGGTACCCTGTGCACCGACATTCCTTTGCCTCCCTTTTCAGCCTGATCTGTCTGTTGCATGTTGGTTTGACATTAAAGCTGCTTCTGCCCTTGATGAAGTCCAGCTTCTTTATATTCTACTCTAGTTTACTCCATCACCAAATTATGCCTGTTATGGCGGGTGCAGCACCAGGCACCACTGGGCTAAAGCTCAGGCCCGGAGGCAGGAGGCATGGAATTCCATCTGAGGTGGGCAATGGTAGGCAGGTGACAGAAGAGCTGGCTGTGAAAAACAGGCCTGTGAGCCAGAAGAGCTCTTCTCTCCCTCCAGCTTGTCTCCCTCTCACTGGCCTCCTGCCAGGCCTAAGAGGCAGATTCTTATCTCTCTGCTTGCAAAGCATGCCCGCTGCAGGGCTCCACTGGGGGTCCCATCCCGCCAATGGTGGGAGCATCTGGCCAGGGTCTGTGCTGGGCCTACCTTCCTGACTCTGCAGCTTTACTCAGAAGACAGTGCACCAGGCCCTGGGCACTGGGGACAAAAGGAAAAGTCTGCCTTCAAGGAGCTCACTGGCATGTCTCACTCTCCCACTACCTCTGATGGCCTCTGTACTTGGGGACAACTTTCTAGAATGGCATACTTTCTCCCTCCTGTCAAAAATTACTTCACCAGGATTGGTTACACTGACAGGTGAGTCTCCCGTCCCTACTTCTATCAGGGGAGATGAGAATGGCAATAGGCTAGGCATTCTACATATGTTTCACCTCATCTTTCTTTACAGTCCTACAAAGAGGAAGTCTCACCCCATTACCTAGATGAGGGGAGGGTGGATGCTCACAGAGAGGGAGCTGGTGTAGATGGAGGCTGTCTGGTACCATCTTCCCACTTTCTGCAACTCCAGGCAGCCTGTGTCAGCTCAGCCTGATACTTAGCTCTGGCCCTGGCCTCTCCATCTCGATTTTGATTTTGTGTTTTCAGATTCCCTTCTATTTTCTTACTCGTGTTGGTCCCAGAGGAAACTGCCCTCTTCAAGTCTTGTGACAGCAGCAGTAGTGGTAACAGTGGTGGTGGCAGCACCACATCCTTTTGACTCCTGGATTAGCTTGTCTTAATTATGCCCGTGCTGGAACAGGGCCAGTACAAATGATCTGTTATTGCTGCAAAGCATACAGGTTGATTGGTACATTTTCTAGTTCTTGCTCTGACTCAAGCCCTTCTGCTCCCTACTGCTGCCAACAGCCTCCCTCCTCTGCTGTCCTTGGTTCTGTCTCTTTGCACATCACATGTGGGCCTGCAAAGCAGTGCTTCAAACTACTGCCACTCCAGGGAGCCGAGCCTGTCCAGTTTAATTCAAGAATGCCTACATCTTCGCTGAAGGCCAGGAACTGTGCTGGATGCTGTGAACAGGCCACATAGAAGAAGAAAACATAGGGGCCTTGCCTTTCAGAGGTTTGGAATCAGAAGCTAGGAGAGAGAAACAGGAACAGAAATCACTGCCACAAGACAGATAGAGATTGTGATGTGTCCTAAAATATTAGGACTACAGGAAAACTTGGTTTTTTGCTATAAGGTGTCCATTTGAGAGACGGAAGACTTAGCTCAAAACAAGGCAAATTGTCGAACTAACAATGTCTGGTAATAACAACAAAAACTCTAAAGCCCTTAGTGGGAGCTAGGTGCCACTTTGTGAGTATTTTGTAGATTAAATCACTTAAGCCTCACAACATTATGAAGCAGACACTACTACCATCCTACTTTAAATATGATGAAGTGAGGTGTAGAGGGGTTGATATCTTGTCACATTCACTCTAGGAGTAAGTAGAACCCTGTACCAACCCCAGACACTCTGGACTATACTACGAGCTGGAGATTGACTCACTAAGAGCTGGAGATTGACTGTGGAAGTAGTGAAACGGCTTCCTAAAAGAATTGCTCATAGGTCCAATCATAAAACACTGAACTTGGGATACACAAAGCCAAGTGAGAGGAAGTGTCAACCAGAGGTTTGGGTCCAACTGGGAGTTCTTTAGTGCTATTTAATGCAAGTCAGTGAGGGAAGTGAGCATGTATTTCTAAAGAAAGAGCCACATCAAGAAAAAGGAACTTGGCAGAAAGGATTTATTTAAAGAACCAGAAGAAGTCCAACCCACTTTTCTTTTTAACAGTACTGGGACTGAACCCAGGGATTATTGTGTGGTAAGAAAGTGCTCTAATACTGAGCTACATCTCAAGTCCCACTCTTTCTTTCTTCTTTTTATGCATGGCTGTCTATGCATGATGCCTCAAGCTTGTAAGTTCTTTATGATCCCCAAGTGCTACTTCCTGAGGCAAGGAGGACAGCTTGCGTACCTTATAAAGGTGTCTGATAACACAGAATGAAATTCTCAAGAAAGGTACCTCTAGTAAATTCTTGGGAACCAAAGGCTTCCATTGCCTGAAATCTTCCCAATACATATCCACACACTTGCACCTTGGCTTTGATTAACCAAGCTTCCTCCAATTCTGTCATATGAGTTTGAGAATAAGCACAGTATTGGTATAAAAATTACTTACCAATTACTGCCAAATTATGCTCTGAACCACAAGAGATCTGTAAAAAGAAAGAAAACGTACAGTGATATTTCAGCCAGTGTATTTTATGACCACTGTTATTTTCTAATGACATGAACATCCATTTCTGGCAAATTTTAGGAAATAGAAAGAAGTACCATATACAAAGGTTAAGACTATAATTACAACATATTCAAAAATACATAGAGAGCATGAAAAAACATTTAATAGAAATGCACCAAGATGTGAAAGAAGTTGTCTTTAAACAGACCATAATAATTTTTTCTACTTTTTTTGCATATCTCAAACTTTCTATAATGAGCATATGTTACTTTAAAAATGGAAAGATAAGGCAATAAAGATAACAGATTTTAGAAACTAAACTAAAAAGACCATCACTCTCATCTGGACTGATAAAATGAGCAAAGGATTCAGTGGAAACAGACTGGGCTGAGGAGATGCTTGACTTTCTCGTCTGCTTATTTTCCCTTTCCCTTGCAGCCACACATCCTCTGTAGTTCCTTGAATCTATTCTGTTCTCGCACACCCCCAGGCCTCTGCACATGCTTGTTGTGCCACCCAGAATGACATCTTCTCTACTGCCTCTCCGCTAAGCCCCTAGTTATTCTCTAAAACCTCAAAACATGTACTGAGACCCTTCTGCTGTTACTTCTAGGCAGACTTGGGCACTTCTACTAGGCATAGTAGTGTAGTAAACACCTGTTGCCTGTCAGCATTTTTCCTGTCTCCTCACTAGACTGCCTGCATCCTGGGAACAAGGCTGAGGCTCACCCACCTCTGAATCACACAAACACACTCTGCGAAGCCCACAACTCAGTTAACATTTGCTAAATCAGAGAAAAAATAAAAGTATATAAAGGAACAAAAGCTTAATACATGAAAAACAATCATTTAGGGTTCTGAATCCAGTATTCCCAACCAGTGGGAGACACTGCTTGCCTTTCAGTCTTGGCACGTTCCAACGTATCAGCAGGAGGCAACGGGAGATCTAAAAGCATAAATGTTCCCTAGGTACTGATTAAGAGAAATTCTGTGGACTCTGGAGAAGTCTCCTGTGACCTTTACCAGGACACTCACTTTAGCTCCTGGAAAGAGGATCGCTCAGGTACTCTGGAATGTTAATGTGGGCTTGGCCCTGGAGATCAGCTAGCTACCTTACCAGGAGAAAGGGAGGGTTGGAAAGGTGAAGTAACTTGCCTCAAGTCTCAGGGCAAGTCTGTGACAAAACTAAGAAGAAAGCAGCCATTCTATTTGCTAGTATGAGATCAGCTTTCTGATTCACATGAGTGATTCCACACTTGAGTGAGGTCACATGGCACTGGGCTTTCTGTGCCTGGCTTATTTCACTTACCATGGTGTCCTTCGGGTTCATCTATAATGTCATAGTGACTCTAGCTAACAACAGTATATTGTATTCTTGAAAAATCTAAGATTATTTTAAGGTTTTCTACCATAAAAAATGATAAGTGTGGGGATAATGTGTATGTTAATTAGCTTAATTTACCTTTTCTACTATATATATTTTAAAACATGTTATACATATATAATTTTACCTGTTAATTAAATAATGAAAAAAAACCAAACACACATGCCTACAACCACTCTGAATCTCCATACTTCACAAGAGTTCCTTTCTTGAAGCTAGATGCTGTTTTCCAGGGAAAAACCACCAGGAAACAGATTCAAAGGTTCTCAGCAGAGGGGTACTGACAATGAAGTGACTTGGAGCGCTGGAGGCTTTCTCCACACTGGCAGCAAGGTTTTTCGGCTTTTTCCCGTGCAGAAGCTGTGCTCCCCCAAACCCAGCTTCCACTGTGCACATGTATATGGGCTTCTAAAGTGCTTGGCAAAGATGCTTCTGTAAATTTTACTCTTAGGAAATATAGGCCAGATTGTCCAGTCTTTGAACACCCTTGAAGCTGGCTGTATTTGTCACTTACCTGAGGGCTATAGTATGCTCACCATGGGCCACATACTATCTACAGAACATATTCATTATAATTCTGGCTGTCCTTAGGCTGGTTCCCTGGGTTTTCTACAGAAAGCACCTTAGACTGATGAATAGGAAAAAGCTTAGCCATCTAACAATATGGAAATATATAGAGACTATATTATGATACAAGCATCTGATAGATTATTAAGCAGTTTTAGAAACTGAATAATATATAATAGTAGGAAAATATTTGTGTTACTGTACAAACTGAAAAATTATATAAAACTGTCTATACAGCATGATCCCCATTCTATAATAAAACGAACGAAAATGAGTAGGAGGAAATACAACGAAGTGTTAACAGTGATTGCCTCTGTTTTGGGGATGAGATTAGGATTTTTTTTTTTATTTTAAAGAGGAAAAAACATCACAAAGCAGAACAAAGTACATCAGAAGAAAACAATGTAAGTCACATAGATTTCAAAGCAAAACAACAGGAGAACAAGTGGCTACCATGTCTCTTGTTTTCTTCTAAACAGTTGTCCATATCTTCCCATACAATTAATTCATACAAAACAAAATAGTATTAAACAGATCAGAACAGAGTGATGAAGGCATTTTAGGCCTTCAAGACCAGGCAACAAGAAAATCTACAATGGCTGCCGTAATGTCTCTTGTTATTGTTCAAATTAGCTGTCCATACCTTCATGTATGTTGAAATTAAACAATACAAAACAGGCTAAACTCACTCTGAACAAAGAATAATAGCATTAGTGGGTTTCACAGCATGACGATACGGTATCCTCAATGGACACCATAATGTCTCTTTTTCTTCAAAGTAGCTGTTCAGGGCTGGGGATTTAGCTCAGCAGCATAAGCACCTGCCTTGCAAGTGTGCGGTCATGAGTTCGATCCCTGGTACCGATAAAAACAAAAAAGACAAAAAAAAAAAAAAAAGCAAAGTAGCTGTTCATTTCATCACGCATAATATAATTGATTCTTATATACTGTTTAGAAGTTCTACACATGTATAAGCCTCTACATGTATACCTAACCCTTCTGTATAACAAAAACAAACCAAAACAAATTACTAGAAAAACACACACAATAAAAGACAAAAAAATAACAATAGCAAAGAGCCCAAAACAATGACAATATAGGCCTTCAAAGCAACGTGGTAGGAGCGTAATTAGAGTTACTTTACATAATATTCTTCAAGAGTTCCTCAGATCACCAGACACTAACATGCAAAATTGTTCCAATCCTATGGATGTTAGCTGCTTTGTTCCAAGAACTTATAGAATTTGTAGCAGTCATCTTAGCTATCCTAAGCATGATTATACAATTTTTGATATTTTTCCCTTTCTCTTCCTTTTTTTTTTCACCTTTTCCCTGAGATATTATTTTTTTTTCCTTTTGAGCAATTCTTATCCTTTCATTATATGTATTGAGGATTTTGTATCTTATGTACTCTGACCATTTCTTATACTAGGGAGACATTACGGTATTTACACTTGTGAGTTTGATTTATTTCAGTTACGAGTATGGTCTCCAGTTGCATTCATTTATTTATAAATATCTCAATGTGATCATTCTTTATAGCAGAGTAGTACTCCATGGAATAAAAATACCACCTTTTTTATCCATTCCTCAGTTGATGGGCACTTAGGTTGTTTCCAAGATCTGGCTATTACAAATTGTGCTGCTATAAACATGGGTGCACATATATCCCTGTGATATGATACTTTCAGTTCTTCTGAGAATATGCCCAGAAGTGGAATAGCTGGGTCAAATGGGACTTCCAATCCAGCTTTTTGAGGAACCTCCAGATTGACCTCTACAGTGGCTGCACCAGTCTGCACTTCTACCAACAGTGCAGGAGAGTTCCTTTTTCCCCACAGCCTCTCTAGCATTTGTTCTTGGTAGGTCTGCTTGATCCTGGCCATTCTTTCTGGAATGAGAGGGAATCTCAGTGTTGTTTTAATTTGCTTTTCTCTAATGACCAATGATGCTGGACATTTTTTCATGTATTCATTTGCCTTTTGTATTTATTCATCTGAGAATTGTGTATTCATCTTAGATGCCCCTTTTTGGATTGGGTCTTTGAATTTTGGGGGTCTGATTTTTTTTTTAATTCTTTACATGTTTTAGACAGAAGTCCTTTGTCTGAGGGACCATTTACTAAGATTTTTTTTCCCAATTTGAGGTTTTTTTTTTTGCTATGCTGGAGATTTATTTTGACATGCAAAAACTCTTTAGTGAGATGTGATCCCAGTTATTGATTCTGGGAAGAATTTCCTGCATGGTTTGATTTTTGTTCATGAATTCTCTACCTACCTATATGTCTTCAAAATTTCTATCTACTTTGTTTTCTAACAGATTTAGTGTTTCTGTTTTAATATTTAGATTTTTGATCTATTTAGATTTTAGTTTAGTACATGGTGACAGGCATGGGTCTAGTTTTAGTTTTCAGCAAATGGAGAACCAACTTTTCCAGCACCACCTAATAAAAAGACTAGCTTTCTTTCAGTGGACATGTTTGGCCCCTTTATCAAAGATGAGGTGGCTGACTGTGCTTGTGGTTGTAGTTGTATCTTTTAATATATTCCATTGATCTTCAGGTCTGTTTTTATTCCAGTACCATGCTGATTTTATTACAGTAGCCTTGCAGTATAACTTCAAGTCAGGGATTGTGATGCCTCCTGCCTTGCCTTTGTTGTATAGAATTACCTTTGCTATTCTAGGTCACTTCTGGTTCCAGATGAAATTTCTAAACGATTTCTTTAGATCTGTGAGGTATGCTAATAGTGTTTTGATTGAAATTGCATTAAATCTGAATAACACCTTTGGGAGAATGGTCATTTTCACAATATTTGTTCTTCCTATCCATGAACAAGGGATGTCTTTCTATATTCTAAGGTCCTCTTCGATTTTTCAGGGTATTATAATTTTCCCTGAATAGATCTTTTACTTCTTTTGTTAGATTGATTCCTAAGTTTTTCATTTTTTTGGATGCCATTGTTAAAGATGTGGCTTCCCTTACTTCTGTCTCAGTGATTTTGTTTAGTGCATAGGAATGCTATTGA